CCCTCCGCACCCCCGCCCGCCCCCCCCCCCGCCGCTCGGGAGGTCGCCTGCAGCAGGCCGCTTTGCTTGGGCTGCGATGAATGCCCCGGTTCGGGGCGTCTCTGGGACGCTGCGGGCCCTTGGCGAGCCCTGGCTGTAGGCGTCGGTGGCCGTGGAGTCGGGCTCTGGCTCCCGACGCGTTCCTCCGCCTGGGTGCTGCGGGGTGGGAGATGAGGCGAGTCTGTGCGGCCTCCCCGCGGGGTCTGCGGGTCGGTGCGGGACGCGGGCCGTCTCGAGCAGCTCCCGTCCGTCCGCGGCGAGCGGTGGCGCTGTTACCGGTCGAGTCCTTGGCGAGCAGCGCAACGACGGCGCCGGCTGGCAGGACTCGCAGGGCGCGCCGCGCTCCAGTTGTGAGCACAGGAAGCCCTGGCTTCCTTTACCCTGGGGCTGGGAGATGCAGGTTTGGAGACAGTTGCGAGGTTATGGGTCACACACAAAACTCTGAGTTTTCATTTTGCTGAGAAGCTTGTGTCTCCTTGAAGCAGGGCACAGCGCAGTGTAAGCCAAGCTGCCCACAGGGGAGCGGGTCCACATGCCGTTGGACTTTGTAACCGCCCTAAGAGAGAGCAGCGATGTCAGGTTAGGCAGCTTCTGAACCATTCTGCTTTGCTGTGCGTTTCGAGTGCTGCCCTTTGGTGTCGTTTTGCTGTTCTAGGACAACTTACCGATATGTTGTGGTCTCTTCCGTTCTCCTCTTCTCTTTCTGCTTCCAGACTGTGTGAGTGACGAGTGTTGGTTCGGCAGAGACAAAAGCTGTGACTACAGCTTTTCTAGGATAGGGCTGTCCGAGACAGGTTTCTACCAGAACTACAGCAAGAAGCATTTCCGAATTTTCAAGGTAAGCGCTAAAAGGACCCGTGGCTCCTCCTGCTGCCTCTAAAGAAGGAATCCAGATTAACTGGGTGGGGGGAGGAGGGGGAAACAAGGAGACAAACCCTCCCTAATCTGAGGTTTAAAAGCCTTACAGTGTGGACTCCTTTCATGGGTCACTTAGTCAAACAGGTTGTTCAAAGCAGTTTTCCTTGGTTCATGAAATGATATATCATAATATTTCTTTTAAATGTTCAGTACAGCCTCACAATGCATGTCATCTTTTGGTATTGTTGCCTTTCCCCCTCTCTCTAGGAAACGGGACCACAAAACTCCTGCGTTGCCTACATAGAAGATCACAGTGTGAATGGGACCTTTGTAAATAAAGAGCTTATAGGAAGAGGGAAAAGGCTGCCACTGACCCACAATTCTGAAATTGCATTGTCTGTACAGAGTAACAAAGGTAAAATAGAGCACAGCACAACCAGAGGCGCGACATGTTGATCCGGGAAGTCCTTCTGTTCTTATGTCCAGTGATTCTTATTAATGGATTGTAAGGACTGGAATTTGTCATGCTGAATAGTTTGGTGAGGCAGTTTACTGGTTACTGAAGAACTTATAGTAAAAGAAGTTATCTTTCAACAATGCGATCATTTTGCAGATCCATGGCTGATATCAGTCTTGGTGTCAGTTAAGCTTGTACATGTTTTTCTTTTAACCCAAAGCATTTTCTTAGTTATATTGTTGAACAGTAACGTTTAGGAAGAGCAGTTTGTTTGTTTTAACAAAGTTTTTGAAGTTAGTAACAGGAAAATGATCTCCACTCATCTTCCTAGTGTTTGTATTTTCTGATCTTATGGTGGATGATCAGTCGGGGTATCCCAGAGAATTCAGAGAGAAATATATCATGTCAAAAACTTTGGGAAGGTAAGCATCATACTTTCTGAAATATTTAGCATTTCTTTTCCTTTGATTCTGACTGGATTCTGCTGGAACTGTCACTAATGTTAATTGCTAGCTGCTCTTGTTTTAGTATTGTTTCAGTAACACAAGTATGAATGGAGTTTTGCAGGTTAATAAAAGACAAAGAGCCCAATTTTCAGCATATCGCTGTCTCCTTTTCTCTGCCAGGGGTACACCACAGTTTACTCTCTTATGAACTAAAATGCTTTAATCTATCTGAAGTCATACGGGCTCACAGGTCATAGTTTAATGACCTGTGAGAGAAAGTTGGTTGCCTCAGGCCCAAAACTCTATGATGCTACGAGAGATTCTTTTCTGGTGGTTTTGTGGCACATAGCAAAAGTCTTCCTTGACTGTTCAGCTGAGAATTATCTTGCTGGAGGGGAGCTGTCAGCTAGCATAAGTAAGAAAATCCGCATCCTTCTTTTGCAAATTGCCCCCCCTCCCAGGGCAAAGGGAGTGCACCTGTGTTATCTACGCTGCTTGCGAGCCTAGTAGAGACCACAAGGCATTAGTATAGTTCCCTAGTTGTCCTTTACATCAAGGATGAGAACAGGAGCAGGTGGAAAAGGTATTAATTTATATGGTACTTGCTGGTAGCTAGCACAAGTTCTTATATGGGTGGGGGTCAAGCTAAATTATAATAGTTCTTCCTTGCTTTTTAATCTGCTAACAAATAATACATTGTGAGAACAGGGGAGGTGTTCCATGATGAGCTCAGCTCAAGGGAAGGGGTATCTCTCTGTGCGGGAATAGCGTCTCCATCTAGGTCTGCTTCACAGTGCTTGCATTAAGATGAAGATTGGCATAATCTGAAAGTGGAGCGAAGCTGTGAAATGAACAGTGGCAGTAAAACAAGGTGGTTACTCAGATGATTGTTCTGGCTTTTTAAAAAGCTCTTTCTTTTACATGCAAATGCTTATACTGAGTTGTCAAAAGGAGGAGGTTAGGATCTCAGAGCCTTGTTGCAGAAGCGTATTTTGAGGAGACTGTTAGAAAATCTTTAGGATTAATGCTGTATAAATTAATTGTTTAACTTCAAAGGATTGTTTTACTCCTTAACGCAAAGTCTCATTTTCAGTTACTTGGCTTAAAAATTATTAGTCTTTAAAATGGGGGGTGGGGTGGGGGGAAGAATTGGGTGGGTAAGGAGGGTGTTTTGTTTTGAATATCCAGGGCTGAAGGAGGAGGAATAATTCTTCTTTTAATAGTTGGGTGATAGCACTGGCAATAAATCTGAAATAAAATAGACTCGTTCAACTATTTGTTTCCCAGGCAATATGGCTTTTGTCATCTTCTTACAGCTACAGCCTCTTAGAATAAGGGGTCCTTAGGTTGCTGGGATTGTAGCTGCCCTTTTGCTCAGTTTCAGCTCTGAATGATGAAAACTGTAAATGTGGGATGCCTGATTTTCTGGCTTAGGCCTGTTCTTTCCTTACGCCATTTAAGTCTGGGATTTGGCTCTGTTTCTCTCATTGGCTTGGGTATAGAACATACTTTTAATGGTGAAACCCCAGATTATGGTTTATGATTAGGTATGAGCAGTCTTAGAAGAGAAAGATCTAAAGAATTTGCTGGCCGCTGTTACTTTGTATATTAATTGGGGGGAGGTCAAAATACAACCTTGCCCAATTTTCAAGAAAGAAGGATTTGCCTTTTTATATTTAAAATGTTTTTAAAATGGAAAAAGACGTGTCTTCTGTAAAGACTTTGGAAGAAAACAGTACAGTGAAAACACAAATGTGAGTGGCCTACCTGAATTACCAACTATATGATTGTTGCTATGTAAATACGTATTTATGGCCATATGTATTCCTCAGATTTGAACAGCCCTGTAGCGCAGAACCCAGACATTGCGCTACCTTTCTGCCATTACTCAGTGGACAGGATGGGCCACATGTAGCGTGTGTTGAATCAAAACTTAGTGGCTGTTAAGTCAAAACTTTTAATGTACATTTTAAATGTGTTTTTGGTTTTGGTTATGTTAGCCATTGTAGGGCTGACGTGCCACCAGTGCTTGTCCTCGGTATTCTCTTAATAGTTCACGGTTTGGAGTTTTGCTGCTCTTTTGATTCCTGTATTGAAATGTTGGTGACTGCCCTAGTAACCATTGTTATAAAGCTTCTGTTGCCAGGATGTGCGACTGTTGAACCTGAGAGTGCTGTGATAGCCTGGTGTTTTCCAGAGGCTGGGAGACGATAGTATTCTAATCAGACAGCAAATGCCCTTCAGTCATTTACCAGTTTGTATTTTTTATGTGCATTTTGAAAAATGTTTGCAAGCATTAACATCATTATGTTTTTATATTAGTGGTGCCTGTGGTGAAGTCAAACTAGCATTTGAAAAGGCCACGTGTAACAAAGTTGCTGTAAAGATAATCAATAAACGGAGATTTATGACAGCTGCTGTGAGAGAGGCAGTAAGTGCATTGTTTCAAAAGTTTTCTGCAATATTGTGGAAATGATAAATGTTGATGGTTTAAGCTTTGCTGGATTCTCATGCAGTAAAGTGAATATTTGTGCATCATTTAATATGATAAAGTACAAATCCCTTTCTTTGCTAATTCTCTGGGATAGATGATTCTTTCACTTCCTCTTGGGACAGGCAGGAAGCTGTTTTAGAAACAAGACTGAAAAGTGTTGGGAGAAAAACTAAGTTTTTACTTAAAAATTACGAGGTACTCCAGTTAAGTTAAACATAAATAGTAACGAAAACCTGCCTAAACATAAGCCACAGGAATAAGCACCCAGTCCTATCTGTTAGCCTCACATCTGTTTGGGAAATTGTTGTGTAAGCTGGAGAAGGAGGCTATGTGTAGAAATTGTACGTCTGGCAGGGAACTGGCTAATGAGTTGCTACAGGTTATGGTGAAAGCAGAGCTCAGAGGCTGGAGAGAGGCTGCTTATGGAACTTGTGAATGAGACCAATCTCAGTGTTCTCATTTAATGGAACTGGCACAAAAAGTAGGTGCATGTGATGCAATTTGTTGAGGACACAAAGTAGGAAGCATTGCCAATACTGTGGATAGGGGATGGAGCTTCATACAGCAACCCAAGGATGGCATTGTGGACTGGAGAAATAGAAATGAGATGAAATTGAACGGCATGAAGTATAAGGACATTCACTTAGGTGCTAATACCAAGCATGGTTCCTGCAAAGTTGCGGTCTCATCAGTTGGAAATGAGAGGAAGAAGACCTGGATGTCGTAGCTGATGCAGAGAGTAGTGTGAGCCATCAATGTGAGGTGGCTGTGAACCGGGCAAATTGAGTTCTAGGATGTACCAGGAGCCTTGTTTTCAGTAAAAGTAATGAAATGTATTAATACCATTTTATAAAGCATGGGCCAGACGTTGTCTAGAATGCCGTGTAGAATTTGGTAACCCCTGTTCAGAAAGATTAATTCAGACTGCAGAAGATGCAGAGAAGAACGATCGGGATAATTGAGAGAAATCGAAACTTGTCTTATGGGAGGGGATTTCTAAGAGCCTGGCGTGTTTGGCCTGGCAGAACAAAGGCTAACAGGTGATTCTTGTTTGTTTAAATGTGTCAGGGGAGCACAGACAGGGGGAAGATAAATTATTTGAGCTAAAGGACAGTACTAGCACAGGAACCAATGGGTGTAAATTGGCCCTGACTAAATTTTGGCCAGAAACTTAGGTACATTTTTTCAAGAGGAGTAATTGAAACCTGCAAGCGAACTAGTGTAATGGTGGACTGTGATCATCTTATGAATGGGATTACATGATGCGTTCACCCGCAGTAGTAGGGGGTGAGATATGACGCATCCCAGAAGGTCTTTCCATATCCCATGTTCTGGAAAGAGCACCACTCTTATTCCATCTGACATTTGAATTTTTTTTTATAGGATCCAGTGTTCAATGTGAATACAGAAATAGAGATTTTGAAGAAAATAAATCACGTGAGTATACTCTTAAAAACATTACTTTTCTTTTTATGTGCATTCTGCTTTTCTTGATTGCTGGTTGTAACTCATGGCCCAAATGGAACCATTTAATTTGACATTGCCCCTCTTCCTGTGTACGTGCCAAATGTTTAATTGACCCTTTTCAAGTCTGTTGTAGGTAAGGTTATCTGAAACAATTTCTGTTATATCAAACACTTCCCTTCCATGGTCTCTCTGGGAACCACAGCTCCAGACAATAAGATCTTTCTTGACACATTCTTCTCTGAATATTTTGGATGCCCTCACTTGTTGGCTAGCTTTAGCTTTGACACATTCTCCACTATTGATGATTGAACCTATTCAATCAGAACAGCCAGTCTAGGGATTCTTGTTCAGCAGCATTATCTGAAAGTTTCTGGTGATTAAGGAAACTGGAACCTTTCAGAGTCTACTAGAGACATCAGGAATTTAAAATCAGACTAATGTAGTTACAGAACTACATACATAGACCTCCCGACCCCACTTCTTGATTGCCTTTGGCAGAGTTGGGTGATATGAAATGTTTTTCTTTTTTTAACTTTTCTTCCCTTTTGCTATATAAAAACACAAACGGAGGAGTCATTTACAGGGAATTAGTGTAACTGATTGTGCTTAGAGTATATTGGCTGAACTGCATGAGAGCTCAGAATTAGTGTAAATTTAATGGGCCTTCTGATTGAGGTTGAAGTGCATTGAAAAATGTGCTTTGGTGAAACTTCCATAGCACCTGTCCGCATTGAGCAGGCAGTCTTTGTTGTTACATTCTCTAATGTGTTAAAGCTGAAATCACTTGGAAATATTTTTTTTGAAAGAGGTGGAGTGTCCTTACAAATACATTGCATCACACTCTTCTGAAATGACTTGCTCATGGCGTATTAGAGATTTATAGATCAGGAGGCAATGTTTTACAGTTAGAGTGGCCAGAATCTGGAACCAGCTTCCTAGGGAAGTGGTCCTCACCCCTACCTTGGGCAAATTGAAGAGGAGGTTGGACGATCACCTGTCTGGGGTCTTGTGAACCCAGCATTCATTCCTGCCTGTGGCAGGGGGTCAGGCTAGATGATCTGATCAGGTCCCTCCTGACTCTAGCTACTATGAAACTGTGAAACTATTACTGTAATACTGGTTTGTATGAAATCATAGTTTTGTTGGTTTTCTCTCTTTTTTTTTTTATTAGCCCTGCTTAATCAAGATTAAAAACTTCTTTGAAGCAGAAGACTATTACATTATTTTGGAATTGTAAGTAGACTCTTTGCATTTAGTTTATGTTCCAGGGAAAATACTATGCAGCTCTTTAAAGTTCAAGATCAGTTTCTTGACCTAGATTTGGAACTGGATGGGGAGCCAGAGATCATAGGAAATTAGGCCTGGAAGGGACCTCACAAAGCCATTTAGTCCAGCTGCTTGCTCAAGGTAAGATTATCCCTGACTAAATCATCCAGGCCAAGTCTCTGTCTAGCCTGCTCTTGAAAATTTTCACAACTTTTTAGGTAGCCTGAGCCAATGCTTGACCACTTTCATAGTGAGAGAGTTCCTCCTAATCATTAACCTAAACTTCCTCTGCTGCAGCTTGAGTCCATTGCTCATAGTCCTGTATCCTACAGCCAGAGAGAATAATCTGTGTTCATCCTTTTTGTAATTGCCCCTCAGGTAATTGAAGACTGCTATCAAATCCCTTCTCAATCTTCTCTTCTTCAGACTAAACCCTAGTTCTTTCAGCCTTTCTCATAAGTCATGCTTCCCAGGCCTCTAATCATTTTTGTCACTGCTGGACTCTATCCACTCTACATCCTTTTTGGAGTATAGGGTCACAATCTGTACACAATATTCCAGTTGAGGCCTCACCAGTGCTGAGCAGGGTGGAAAATTGCTTCCCTTCATTTGCAAATGACACTCCAGTTGATACAGCCCAGTATACCATTGGCTTTTTTTTTTTGCAACAGGAGCACACTGTGGGGCTATGTTCAGCTTAATAAACTTATATAGCTTATTCAGCTACTGTGTCCCACTGGTCCTTCTCTGCAGTACTGCAGCCTAGCCAGTTGTTCCCCAGTTTGTATTTGTATATACAATTCTTCCGTACCAAGAGCAGGACTTTGCATTTGTCCTTGTTGAATTTGATCTGGGTGATTGCGGGACATTTTTCCAGGTTCTCCAGGTCATTTAAGATCCTGGCTCTATCCTCCAGACTATCTTCAACTCCACCCAACTTTGTGTCATCTGCAAATGTGCTAAGTGTGCACTCAGTTCCATTATCCAAATCATTAAACAGTATTGGACCCAGGACAGACCTCCAGGTGTCCCACTTGATTTCTTCTCACAACTAGACATTGAGCCATTGATGACTAACTCGTTGAGCATAATGATCCAGCCAGTTATGTATCGACCTAACAGTACTTCTGTCTAGTCTGTATTTCCTTAGCTTGTTAATGAGAGTGTTGTGGGAGACAGTGTCAAAAGCCTTACTAAAAGTCATGAGATGACTAGTGGCCAGCCAGCTTGCATCTTTGTGACCTTCACTGTCAGTCCGAGGTAGGGCAGTGTGACGGTGATGAGTGTGGATGCTGTGGCTGCAGGGCTGTCCGAAAAGAAGGGAGAGTCTCTTGACTAGGCAGAAAGGATAGACGTTATTTCTGTGGAGAGTGGGCAAGTAGAATGATGCAGCTTACAAGACTCCCAAGGCTCTGTGCCGGGCAGATGCTACTGATAGAAATTGAGATCACCCCAAATAAGTTGTTTGCCTTCCTGTTAACGCACCTTGTGCTTTCTTGGATTTTATTTGAAACCACCCAGGCACGGTTTCTTTTTTTCTAGTTGTATATAATAATTCATATTCATATAACAAAGATACAGTGGATGCATTTTAGAAACCAAGCTTGATATACTAGTCATTTGGCTGTTTTTTTTAATTAAGTGGCCCAGTCTTAAGCTTGCCCAGTGAGGCAAACCAATGCTGAAACTGGTGCTTAGACAGTTCTAATGTAAATCTGTTCTAGGATGGAAGGAGGAGAATTATATGACAGAGTGTCAAGACCAATCAAGATGAAAGAAGCTACCTGCAAGCTGTATTTTTATCAGATGCTGTTGGCTGTAAAGGTAGATAGTCCTGAATTCCACCAAGGAGAATATGGTTGCCGCAATTCCAACTGTACAATCAGTTAAGCTTCCTTCCTTCAATAAATGCTTGCTCATATTTGTGTGGCAGTAAGTGAATGCTTCTCTGTATCCATAAAATAGATGTAGGCTGCTGTCCCTTGGATGTTGTAGGCCTCTGTAGAATATAGGGGAGAAGACTGCTCTATCCCAGGTTTCTTGAAACCAGTCTGTGGCTTCTTAACTGCCAGTGTGAGGTGCAGTCAGCTGCTGTACTTCACAGGCTACCTTTGCAGACTCAATCAGGGCCATGCATGTAAAGGAAGGGGTCTTGCATCCCCCGCCCCCCAAAATAGCCACTGTTAACATAGGAGGGAGAGAGAGAACCAAAATTATTTTGTCTTGTCACAGATAATTTATTTTGCTAATGCAGGACAATATGTATGGCATTTGCATGAACTTCAGGAATGGAATATCATGTTGGTTCCATTCATTCTACCTTTGGCAAGATTTCCAGTTGCTGCATAACAGCTCTTTTTAATATTTTAAACACCTTTGTGAGCCCTGTAGTTTTAATGCATGCACAGTCTTCCAATGCATTGTTATTGTCATTGAGAAGTCTGGAAGTTCACATTTTAATACATGCGGTATTCTGTTTTTTCTCTTCTTTTTTTGGTGTGTGCATTTATGTATATGTATGCAGTACCTTCATGACAATGGTATTATACACCGGGATCTCAAGCCAGAGAATGTGCTACTTTCATCTTCTGAAGAAAATTGCCTTATAAAGGTAAGGGAGAAATTTCTATTTGTTTCATTTCTTGCTTTTATTTTGTTGTTCTTTCATTAAAAATTTTGGAACGTTTTCCAGCAGTAGTTCGTTAATATAGTTAAATTCTAACATGCATGCAGTTAATATAGGATTAAGTTTGCTGATACTTATTTCTATGTAATGTTGATGCTAAAAATTCAAGAAAGTGAGTGTAAGGTTCTTACACACATTAGAGATTTGTTTCCTCGTATATGTTTTAATAAGTTAATTCACATAAGAATGAATAAAACATTTCACATTGTTGTTTGTTTATTTAGACTTGCATCCTGTCCTACCCAGAAAGTCTCAGAACAGCTTGTAGTAGCAGACAAAACAATTAACATGATAAGAAACATCAACAGACTCCCCAGTTGACACACTAAAACTTTAAATGCCACTGCATGTGCCTGCCTGTTACCCAGAGCACCAACTCCCCAGGCCATCCCAACCATGCCTCCCAGCCTCCATTCAGGTCTTGGTATACAAACCCTTTCTCCACCCACTCCCACTCCCCTGCCTCATACCCAGGGGAGACCCCGCTCACTTTCCCAACATGCTTGCCAAGCCCATACGCTGCCCTCCTACAAGGGTCTGCAGCTATCCCCTAAAATGCATAGATCCCTGCCTGCCCTCAATGTATAACATAACATTCAAAAAACTATAACAAGGTAACAACTGAAAGATGATCCATCCCTGCTGAAAGGCAAATAAGTCATCAATGATGTCTTAACTGCAGAAATGTCATCTGTGACTATGGTTATCTGGGCTGCTTGGTAAGAGGCTCTGGTTTGACAGAGAGGCACAACAGTACATTTAGGGAATGGATAGTCTTTACCCAAGTAGCCTTCCCTAGGAAGCATAGGGTGACAGTGTTACTGCTTGAGCTATTCCAGAGTCTGCAAATAAAAAAAAAAAATCGGTCTGACATTCAAACTAGTGTTAAACTTATGTCTCTCTCTGTTGCATGCTTCCCCCCCCCCCGGATACGAATCTGTTGCCTAGCTGAGTCTTTCCACTAACATATTCTGCTGGGTGGACCTTGGCATAGTCATGTACTAGAACAGTGTCTTGGGAATTAGAACTGTAAATCCTCTCCTGACACATGCTAACCTGCCTTGTGTACTCCACTGCAAGTCAGTTGTTTTTAACAGTGTTATCTCTGCGGGTAAGATTACAGATTTTGGACAATCCAAGATTCTTGGAGAAACCTCTCTTATGAAAACATTGTGTGGCACTCCCACGTACCTTGCCCCTGAGGTTCTAAATTCCCTTGGGACTGAAGGCTACAGCCGTGCTGTGGACTGTTGGAGTTTAGGAGTTATTCTTTTTGTATGGTAAGAAAGTTTGTGGCTGACAGTTCTGTTGAGTGGTTGGTGATGGATGTGGTGGCTGATCTTTGGCCTTCATTTCAGTACATGTGCTGTGTGTCAGCATGTCTGTCAAATTGTTGATCTTGGAAAGGATGCTATGAAATACATGCCATCTAACAGGCAGTCTTAGTGGCTGGGACAAAACCTGTATTATCAACTTAACTTTTTCTCTTTTGTTTAGCTTATGTGGATATCCTCCCTTCAATGAACAAAATACTAAACTGTCTCTGAAAGAGCAGATCACTCAAGGAAAATACACATTTATTCCAAAGGAATGGAAGCATGTGTCTAATACAGGTATGGTTATGTTAAAATAGCTATAAAATTATTCATTCCATGGAGGTTTCTTGTCTGCTTCCTAACTACAGTATTTCACATGAAATGTTAATGTTTTTCTAGCAAGAACCTAAGAATAAAATAATGAACCTTTCTTTGTTTTTCATGTCTGGCTCAATGAAATGCTGTGGTCAAAGCTCTAGAACAGATGGACATTAGCTAAGAGTACTTTTCTTGATTAGCAGTGCTAAACATCACTCTGTCTTACATCACCTCTGTCTCCTCACAGTGTGTGTTAAGCAGTTTTTTTTGCTAGGTGAACAAGAAGAAAGTAAGGGTCCTGATTAGAATATCTTGAGGGAGGAATTTGATGTAAATACAGTAGGCACCTGTGCAAGAAACTGCAGGGACCATGTATTAGCACTGACATATTTAATAAGAGGTATTTCACAGGAAACTCTGGATTGAAACTACAGAGTTTCAGGCACTGAATCACAACCAGGTCTCAACCTGACCTCCATGTAGGCAGGCTCATTTGCAGCCAAATAAATGCCCTAACTGCTTGATTGCCCCAGTGCAGTTTAATGAGGCTTTTAAATGCATTTGCAATATTGCCAGTAGTCATGACAGTGAAGCCTTACTATGTCACTTCTGTCCATTACCATGGATAGTACAAGAGAGTTTCACTACCCAGTGGACTATAGTGTGTATACCCAAGAACAGTCTTATGAAGCATGCCATTCATTCACCATTAAAAGGCAGAAAGCATTTATGTGTTGCTTTAGAGGAATGTTGCTGCTATCCTATATCTGATGTGATGCGTTTAGAACTGTTGCTGTGCAGAAGTACAAATCATTGCGATGAGCACTGTATATAATTTATTTTAAAGTTATGGATTTGTTAGCTATGTGCCAGTCAGCTTATTTAATTATTTTAGCTTTGGACCTTGTGAAGAAGCTGTTGGTTGTGGACCCAAATAAACGACTTACAACAGAAGAAGCCTTAGGGCATCCCTGGCTTCAGGTAGGAGTTGAGACATGTAGTTAGTACAGCCCATCAGTAAGATTCTGGGATGGGGAAGCCTACTGATAATTGTAACGTGAACGATGAATGGTGTGAATGTTTCAGTTATGAAAAGCCCATTCTGCACCAGATCTTTGTTTTGAATGGAGTATAGTGTGGAAGTGGTCCAGTGCTGCATGGCTATGTCACTTCACTAGCATAAGACCAGCTATCCTATGGGGGGCGGGGGGCGGCGGCAACAACATTTCTGCACCATGTTCTTCAGGTTTCACTTGAAATGCTGTATCTTTGTAGCTATGTCAGTCCATTGAAAAGGAATGATGGGTTACTGATTCTCATTTTAAATCCCAGTTTTGTGCAGGTTATGTTATGGTAAGTAGTGCTAGATGGGTTTTGAGGTGTTTTAACCTGTAACCAAATACGCTTGTGAAAATTCTGGTTCTGCTTCCCATCTGGAGAAGGCTGTCGTTGTCACAATGCAGTTTGAGAGGCTGGCTGACACACAGGTCAGAAAGAGTTTCAGAGAATATCAGAGCTGGAAAATCCAGGTGTCAGCCATCAAACTCAATTCAGGGTCAGGATTCAAACCCTATTCAATTCCCCCTGGTTACTATCTTATGTCATTTGTTTGCTGATGATGTACCACATGTTGCCCTGATGGTCAGAGTCCTAGATGTTCAGTTTTTGATGTCGGAGACTTGAGTATCACCATCAGAGGAGCCATCTGGGCTCCTGTGCCTGTGAGCAGGGAGGAGCTGCATGCCCCTGCACTCTCTCACTGTGTCTTTAAAAATGAGAAGATACAGACATGTGCCCTGGAGATAAAGCCCGTGACCCTCCAAAGTAAAGAATATCTTTTTACCTAGGAGGAACTTTCCACTATGAATCATTTCATCCTTCCACCCAAATGATCGTTTCTTGGAGCTGAGTATTTTTAACTACTAAGTTCTCTAAATTAGTGTTGAAATCACTTCATCTGATGTTTAACTGAAAATTAAACCTATGACACTTGTAAATCAGATGGCTTGTTCATACCCTAGTCCTAGGAGAGCGCTACTCAGTGGAAGTTTTGCAGGGTCCACTGCTGTGAGTTCCCTGACTCTACTACCGATTCCAGCAACTCCATTAACAAATGGATCCTTAGCCGAGAGCGTTTCAATGGAGCACCTGGCTGTGGCTACAAACCATTATTTGTGCCCCTTAAATCTTCACTGTGCCTCCTTGAGTGAGTCGAGACTTGTCTGTCTGTGCACCTAAGAAAACAGTGTAGGGTTTTAGGCATGGAAGAAGAAATGTTTATCTTGACTTGTGAATTCAAAGTCTGCCTTAAACATGTCATGGAACATTGGAACAGGAAGATGGGTGCTGCGTTCTGAGCTCTGTGACCAGACTCTAAAAATAGGCTTAGCTGACTTTCCCCTCGAAACCTGTGCAGCACTTCAAAATCGGGTTAACTATGAACAACGCGTGCCCCCAGCGGCTGGGGGGCATGGCTGCGCTGGGGGTGGCAGCAGCAGCGGGAGCGCGGCGACGGTAAGCACAAAGCTCCCACAGATGCCACTGGTGCTGGGCAGAAGGGATTGACTGCCTGCAGACGTCGCCGGCAGTGGGGTGGCAAGTGGTGACCGCCCACAGGTGCCTCTGACAGTGTTGGCGGTATGTTTTTGTAGGGAGTGCACTGCCATGCTCAGGGGGTGCACGTGTACCCGTGTGCACCCCCTACACATCGCCCCTGAGGTTAACCCTGCCAGGATGACACTGAAATACCCCAAAGACTGCTGAAAAAGCTGAGACACAGAGCCCCTTCTGATGCCCTGTCTCCTGTAGGAGTAGGCAACAATGTTGGCTGTCAGAAGAACCTGAATCCTCCTCATGTCTCTCACTACTTGGCTGTGTGACCTTGTACAGATCCCTACCTCTTTGTTTTAACTTTTTCATCTGTAAAAAGGGGGTAACGTGCACCCATCTGTCACTCTGATGTTTCAGAGAGTCAGTTAATTTCTCTCCAGTGCTTCCAATATATAAAGCACTTCTGTAAGTGCTTACTACTATGGAATTCAGATCAAGCTGTGAGGCAGAAGGCTGGGAGCATAAACAGTCACTGCTCAAAGCTAGGCCAAAGGAAATAGCCAACCTTAAAATGGTTGTGGGCACAGTTCATTTGGCGCTGCCTGGATGCCAGCGGCTGAAGGCCAGATTTCAGTTTTGGAAGACAGATGTTAGGCTGCACAAGAAGCTGAGCCAAAGTAAATCATCTGAGGAGGGCTCCTGCAGGAGGAATTGCTGGAACTGGAAGGCAGATTCTGATGTCTTAGCAGATGGAGTATGCTGAGCTAGCTGAACTTCCTCGGTGCTTATTGCCTCAGGCCCTCAAGCTGCCCCTGGGCAGGCCTGGGGAAGGAATGGATACACTAGTCATTAGCAGCTACAGCAAAATGCAGCTTCTGCCATGGCCCTTCATGGCAAAAATCCTCTCGCCTTCTAATAAACATCTTGCTGTTCAACAAATGACCTTTACTGCACCTCTCCTTCAGGCGCTCTTGCAGCCAGGCCTGTGGCTACATTTTTAGGACCTACTGCATCTTCCCAAACACCTCTGCTTGTCTTGCTTTGCTCCAGATGTTTTCTCTTGCTGGTCTCACAGCATACCTCTGACTCTTGTGCAGCAGGTAGGAATGGAGTTGCAGAACCTGAGGACTTCTATAGCATTAGCTGCTGCTCTGTGACTCGTGTCTGATGGGTAACCACTTGGGTTGTTAAAGCGAAATTCCACTGCTGTGGCTGTTGGTGTCAAAACTGACGATTTCAAATGGTGCAATCTCATAATCTTTAATATTTTAGGGTAGGGTTACACATTTCAGCATGGCTTTTTAGCACCAATGTTCTGACACTGACTCACTGTATAATGATGGGCACCTCATTAAACCTAGCTCTGTGGACCGTATTTATAATTCACCTGATAATTCATAACCAGGTGGAGATACTATGAGGAACAGTAGTATGTAATTTCAAATTATGCATTTTGGTGAGGAAGGCAGAGAGCTGAAGTAGGCAAGCAGAGAGATGGAGCTAGTGGATTTGAAAATGCATGTTTGGGCAGGAAACCATGATGAGGACAGAACATGGGACTTAAGCAAAACCCTTTCTAATTGGAAACAGATTCATTCTGTATGGGTGAAATGAGTCCTCGAGGCAGCTGTCTTGCTTTTCCTTGACTGTGTAATAGCAGTCTTGATGTGAATAAGACCTGTGTGCTCCAGTTTGATCTCAGTCAAACCTGTTGGTTGATGCTGCAAACTTGGTTTTAGCCCTCCTGGTACCAGCCAAGTACTCGGTGAACCATAATCTGTGCAGAACGAAAAGGTGGGAGACAAGCAATGATATATTGTTCAACTTGTAGTGTATGCAACCACTGTCAGCCCAGTTGATTCACGGTTCTGGGGCAGAACCCGCTGTCCTTTACAGAGAACTGTACGTCCGTGTCTTGTGAACGGTTACTTTTTCAGTCCTTGCACACATTTTGTTGTTGGAAATTTTTGTTTTGTTGTTGTGGCCTTGTGTTCAGCTTGTGTTGTCCTGGAAATGGTGGAATAACCCTTGCCTTGAGGGTGGAGTTTTCCCCAAGATCAGCCACATGCTTGACTTCCTTTTTGGATCTATACTGTTTCTAGTGTTTGCAAAGCCAGTACTGCATAGTTTCATTGTCACCTTGTACATCTTGGTTCAGGGAATGTTGGCTCCCTTTATCAGGGTCTCTTTGTTCCTTCAGAGCCCTGAAGGCTACAGAACTCTGGTCTTTGGCTTCTTGGGTCTGGAACAAGCATGTCGGCCCCTTCCTCCCAATTTCCAGAGACTCAGAATGCATGGTGAACATTGTTGCCAGCCTTCTGCACATTTTCCTTTTGACCTGGCTTCACCTTCATTTGTTCATCACAGTCCTAGCCTACCTCACTCATTCTGTCGTCTTCATTGTAGTAGTTCTTAAGCTCTGGAGTTTCTTTTAGTGTCTGTCTGTATTGTTGAAGATTGTATTTCCCTTCCAACCGTAGGTGAAAGAATATCAAGTAGGATTTCTTTAAGCGTTCCCCCTGTGCCTTTCCAAACTTACCTGTAAAAGCTGTTGCTTAGTGTGCACGTCAGTGCTGCCTGGACCTCAGGGGTGGGACCGGGAACCTGCTTGGAGGATCTTGTTGCGCAGTGCTCTAGCCAGAGGACCTATGTGCCTTGATGCATCTTAATGGTATTTCCAGATATTTCACTTGCTGAAATGTTTATTATTTTTCACAGGATGAGGCTGTGAAGGATACATTTAAACAACTACAAAAGCAAATAGGGTTCTCTCTGGATTCTTCCCAGGCATCAAAAGTGGTATGTAACATGGATTGACTTTGAATGAGACTGTTTGTAAAAGGGAGGTAGAGTTTTGAAAATTGTGAAAAAATACACTTCTGATGGCAAGGAAATCAATTACTGTATTTTGAAAATTACTGTGAGGGAACTTAAGTTCAAGCAAGTGTTAGAGAGCACTGCTGATTACCTCTGATAATCACCACACTGGTCATCCTGATAAGGATTTAGGCCTTAGCAAGGCAATTAGGTATGAGTTTAATACTAAGCACATAAGTAGTTCCACAGACTTGAATAGGACGGTTCACGTGTCTGGAATTAACCATGTGCCTACATATGTTAACAGAGCAAGGCCTGAGCAACCCAGGTGCTTAATATCCTTAGAATAACTTCTGACATTAGTACAAGACTGGAAGTTGCATGCAGCATTGTTACTGGAAGATATCAAGTGGGAAAACTTAGAGCAGGGCTGACTGGGAACCTGCTTCTGAAGGGGAAAGAGGAGACAGAAGAAGGGCTATAGACAGCTGCCTGAGGCTGTCATATTCTACTGATGGACTGAGAGGGAGGCTCCTGCCAGTCATGTGCTGGAGATGGCAGTTTAAAGACCACTGCATCTTTAAGACGAGTAGCTATTTCTGCGTTCCTGCTCGTCAAGGTGTTTTAAGCTATGTGTAATGTTACTTATAGTTTCATAGTTGGTTGGGTCAGAAGGGACCTAAGCAGATCATCAAGTCAGACCCCTTGCCATGGGCAGGAAAGGATGTTGGCGTCAAATGACCCTGACTGTCTAGCCTCCTTTTGAAGACCCCCAGGGTAGGAGCGGCTGGGGGCGACTGTCAGGGCGGCTAGGATCTGGAACCAACTTCCAAGGGAAGTAGTGCCTCCTGATGTCTAGCTTGAATCTACTCTCAGTCAATTTATGGCCGTTATTCCCTGTTACTCCCGGTAGTGCTCGGGGGAACAGGGACTCTCCCATGGCCTGCTAGTCCCCCGAGGCAAGTTTATAGGTGGCCACCAGGTCCCCTCTCCTCCTTCTCTTGTGGAGGCTGAACAGGTTCAGGTCCCATAGCCTCTCCTCGTAGGGCCTGCCCTGCTGCCCCCGATCATGCGGGTGGCCCTCCTCTGGACCCTCTTGATGCTGGGCACATCCCTTCTGACGTGCGGCACCCAGAACTGGACGCAGTACTCCACCTGCGGCCTGACCAGTGTCGCGTAGAGGGGGAGGATCACCTCCTTGGACCTGCTCGTGATGCATCTGTGGATGCATGACAAGGTGCGGTTAAGCCTTTCTGGCCATGTCCCCACATTGGTGGTCCATGTTCATCTTGGAATCAATAGTGACTCCAAGATCCCTTTCTGCCTCTGCCCTGATGAGAAGGGAGTTCCCCAGCCTGTAGGTCTGCTGCTGGGTCTTCCCCCCAGGTGCAGCACCTTGCACTTGTCAGTGTTGAATCCCATCCTATTCTCATCTGCCCACCCCTGTAACCTGCCGAGATCTAGTTGTAGCCTGTCCCTCTCCTCCAGCGTGCTCACTTCTCCCCGCATCTTAGTGTCATCTGTGAACTTGAACAAGGTGCTTTTCACCCCCTTGTCCAAATCGCTGATGAAGATGTTGAACAGCATGGGCCCGAGGACCGAGCCCTGGGGGACCCCACTGCCCACATCCCTCCAGGTCGTCTACCACCACTCTCTGGGTGCAGTCCTCCAGCCAATTTGTGACCTATCTGACTGTGTTATCACTCTGTTTAAGTCAGAGAGACGTGACTTGTTGCAGTTTCTTGATTACATTTCCTTTGCATCATCCCACAAGATGCTCATCTGATTGGTGTCAGTAAGGGAGAAACCAACACTTGGGGGGCTTTGGAACCAGGACAAATAAGACTTTAAACAAATGTGATTCTTCCAAATGAAAAGCAGATGATCAAAAAAGGGAGAACTAGTTTTGCCCAATATGGGGAACTGTGGGCAGAATGATAAACTCTTCTAAGGATTGTTGAACTGGCAATGAAGAGGTGCAGGCTACGTTACGTTTGCAGTAAATAGATTCCCCACAAAATCTCAAGTTTTTCCAGCGGGCATGGCACTTGGCCTCTGCCTTAATTCTGAATGCATGCAAAAACTAATGGTTAGGTATTTGTAATTGATTTGTATAATCGTTCTTTTTTTCAGCCAACTACAATGAGAAAACGTCTCCATGACAAGGAAGAGGAGCCCGGATCTCCTAAGCGTGCTTTTCCTTCCACGTCATTTAAGAAACCAATGTGAAAAGAAAGGAAAGAAAGAGACTTTCTTTAATTGCTGCTTTCTCCTTTGAATAGTTTAGATTTTTATAAAAAGTATTTTTCTTAATAATGAAATAATGGTTTTGAACTAATCATTGGTAAATAAAAATAACTTTGTAAAAATGGGATGACCTTTCCATACCGGGGAAACACAGGCAAAGTATCACCAGCTCGCAAACCTCTTTCTTGAGCAAAGGTGGTGAGGTCAACTCCAGCACCATTGGCCCTCACCTGTAGACGGGATCTCTTTTGTTCAGGTTTCCTGCCCTTGGCACGGCACGGCGGTGGAGTTTGCAGCTTCAGGAGATGATCTCAGTCGAGTCAGTCCTGAGGCCACTAGGCGATCTCAGTGCTCAGAGGTAAAACAGACACGCTAATGTTGCTGAACTTTGACCATTGATACTGTTTTCTAATGAGGTGCTGCCCATCCACCTGCAAGAACTTACTGTAAGGATTTTCTCTTAGCTGACTCAGTCCTTCAGAGGATCCCGGAGCATTTGGTGGGCAGCTGCTCTTCTTCCCCCGCAAGATGCTGCTTGAAATGAGCTACAGCGATCAGTCTGGTGGCTTTTCATTCAGTCCTCCAGTGGACACTAAGATAAAATACCACGATTAGATGGTAAATTGAGGGGTGGCATGGTCTTTGGTTCTGAAAACTATCCTGTATGCATTCAGATTTTGCAGAAACAAACAGGTTTGTGGTTGCCATACATTCGTAGTTGCTAGCTCTCTCCTGTTTGATAAATTGTAATATTTGCATTAGAAAGAACATGAGTAAGGGGGGGATGTGATAACAGCATATAAAATAAGTGACACGGAGAAGGTAGTTATTAAGACATGAAGAAATTCCTAGTCTTGTAACAAAGAATGAAATAAAGCTAGCAAATTCAAGACTAATTGAAGGGAATACTTTTTCACTTGCCACGCAGTTGGGGTGTGGAGCTTATTACCAGATGTGTCAAGACCCAGAAAGTAGTAACGTTCAGAGCAGGGTTGGGTGTTTTGGTAGAGAGTCTAGTGACAGCAGTTCCTGTAAGCAGAGTTGGAAGGAATGAATGGAAGTCTCATGAATTGGAATTTACCCTACTGCTCCGGGGGCAGGTCGGCCCGTGTCTGCCGTCTGGTGCAGCAGTGCCCAGAAACGCTGTTCTGGCTCTGCCTAGTCGTCTTTCCTTGATACGGGCTTAGTCGGCACTGGATGAATTTGACCCAACGACGGTAACCTGGTGCTTCAGCCAGACAGCTGGGAAGCTGCCGCCCCCTTGCCGAGCAGCAGTGTGCCGCGCCACGCCACGCCGTGCCAGGCCAGGCCAGGCCAGGCCAGGCCGTGCTGGCACCTAGCTCCCGTCGGCCCAGCGCGCTCCGGGTTCGCAGCCAGGTTGTAGTCCAGCGCTTTATTTAACGCCCGGCTGGCCAGTTTCCCAGCGGGTGCCGCGACCAGCCTCCTTTTCTGCAACTTACCCTGCAGCCGCCGCGTCTTGGCCGAGCTCCGCCGGAGCCGCTCCT